TTTTTTAAATATCTTTTTTTAGTATAGTAATTTGTTAACTTTTCATTTTTCATATGCGCTATTTAGAAATGTTTCATTTTTCATGTGCGCTATGTTAGAAATTGAAATGTTCTGTTAAGAAATTTACTATGTTCTTAGCAAAATTTAGATGATAATCTAGTTTCCAGACTTTATTGACAGTCTATTCCTGCACCACCAGAAACATAGTAAAATTGCAAAGAATTTATATGAAAACATTATATCTAATATTCTCTCTCCGTGCATAATTAGACGGAATAGATCGTCCGTAGCGTACTTTACAAGAAATCCAGCTGCTCTTAATTGCGTTGCCCTCTTTTATAGTTTGATGAAGCACAGGACGCAGAATAATATCGTCGCTTTGACATGCCGCCGAAATAATTATGCGCCGCGCATTAATTGCCTCACAGTGAAATACGATTTTCACGGAATTATGAGAAGGCTCGTAATCCGCGAAACGGTTCATTTATGTTATCGCCCGTGCATTTCCGCGCCGCGCGGCGAGAATCCGCGATCAGGAACGTATCGCGAGTGATTTGCGAGAATTTTTTTATTATGCGGAGCGATAGCGATCATTCCCGTAAAGCATGAGCAAAGCCATTATTAAAATGACGCAAAACTCTCCTTACGTAACGATCTGACTTTGTTACCGATTTGATCACGATCTTGTGATGGTTCTAAGAGGTACGTAGTTCTATAATAATCGTAGTACATAAATTCGTATCAAATCACCGAGGCGTCTCGCATGGCCGACTTGCATTATTCGTAAGGAGAAAAAAAGTAACAAGAACAGGACTAAAAAACGCACATATACACACACACTTTGAGCCGCGCGTCATCCCGTCGCGTATTATCAATTGATATATCATATTTTCCGCTCAAACAGGATACCGAACATTCTCACGAGTGACGTTCAGGTCTCCGTCTCCACACTTCATCGCGGACACTGATTGCCGCACATACAAAATGCGCGGCGTCACGAGTTCTCGGTATAATAATGCGCCGTTCGTGCAATGCTTTTTTGTGCTTTATTTTCATCCAGATCGCGTTTACCGCGAGTCACATGGTGTCATATCGATGGTAAAGGGATTTGCATAAGCGCGATCGAGCGTGGGGCCGCGCCGAATCGTTTCAGATTCCGCTCTCGGTGACGAGAAAACCGAGGAAGACGAGATTATAAGAAATATCCGATAAGTGTATAAATTATTCTCAATTTTACTATCTGGCATTACAGAAATAGACTATCTATCTTGTTGAACATCTACCTTGCTGAAGAACACGATGAATTTCATTAAAAATATAGCAAACTTTTTAACAGCATATTTTAGATCCTAATGTATAAATAGCATATATATTATAAAAAATTTTTGTTAACACGTTTTACATGTCCCAATTTATCCACTTTAATTTTTTCGTCGCGTGCGCTCTCTTTCTCTCTCTTTCTCCCTCTTCTATGAATTTTCCTTTTTTCCCTTCGGTTAGATGACTGCGAGACGTTGTTTCGATTGCTCGTAATGTGCAAACGCGTGACGTCATATAACCTGCCCGGTACAGTGACTTACAAAACAGCTTAGACACAATGAAGTTGGCAGCTTATCAGCTGACTGTCAAAATTGAAAATCGTTACCGATAGGCTTACTCAATACACAAAAAACCTCAACTCGGGTAACTGAATGAGGACCAGATGAAAAACTCGCTGGCGAGAATTTACACTTCTGTGTGTGACATTCGTTATTGTGTGATTGTGACATTCGTCTAAACATTAGCAGCATATTAAAACTCGCTTAAAGTAATCGGAAGTAATTGACTGGTGAGTAGAAACTTTCTATATATACAGGAATTTTTCTGTTCCTACAACCAAGTTTTTCATCTGATCCGCCAAGTAACAGGAAATTCAGTTACACTGACGGAGTTGTATTTTTCGTGTAACAACAACGTGTACAATTGAGAACACTGAATAATAACAAATTATAATTAATAATAATAATAATAATTAATGATAAAATTACTGAGCAAGCCCGTCACAATAATGACTGTTCATCCTGGTAGTTTGATGAGCCCCCAATTTCATTGGATCTGAGTCGTTTTGCAAGCCACTGTACATCATCATCGCGATTCAAAGATGACACAACCGAGCGGGCCGTAAGCCGTCATTTGCGAATCAAACGTCGCAACGCATCAGCTCGCACTACGATATTGCGATCGTCGCGACCGATATGACCGCGATCGTTCGCGCAAATGTACTCGACGCTAATTGCAGATTCGTCGAAAGATCTCCTTTTGCGAGCGACCAGCTGGTTCTATCGCATTTCAGCGCGATTCACCTCGGGATGCTTTTCCGTTCGCCACGTTCTGCGCGACGACCAGAGATCTGCGTCCGCAATCTACAACGCACACGGGAAGAAAAAAGAAATGATTTCAGTGTCGCAGCTAATCATGATTTGTTGAAAATGTATTTGTAACGAAAAATTTTCCGCTTTCCATATTAAAGTTTTTCACAGTTAAATATACAGTGGGAGAAAATACGAACGGTTATAAATCTAATTAAAATTATAGTTATTTTTTCTTCCAGCCATATTTTTTCTAACAAAATAGTAATAGTAATATGCATAAGGTTATTATCACTAACATTATAGTAGCCAATTTAATTAAAAGACGGTTTTTTCACTATATACAGGGTATCCCAGAACAATCTACGAAACTCTCGTGAGAACGTAGAGCGGGTCGAAGAAAACATAAAAGTCCTGTACAGTTTTGCGATATTCGTAATAATAACCGAGAAATTAATTACGAAAGATTAAGGAAAAGCGTTATAGGATAAGAGGCAAAAGATAAAAGGAAGGAGTAGGATAAGAAATATCTAGGATAAGAGGCAGTGAGGAAAAGAAGGAATAGGTGTAAAAAAGAGTGTAAAGTAAGGTTAAACAAGGTAAAACTAAGAACTTCCTGCATTGCAAATTGAAATAATAATAGAGTAGATTAAAAGCGCGCGGATATCGGCGCGTGGCGATTGGAAGAACAACGCACTACTGCCTATGCTTATAACGCTGCGCTCTTACATCTCGCCTCGGCGCGGTGCGGTAAGACGTAGGAGCGCAGCATTATAAGCATAGACAGTGGTGCGTTGTTCTTTCAATCACCACGCGCCGACATCCGTACGCTAAATTACTGGAGCGCGCTGTGACTCGAGCTCTCCGTCCTCTACCATTCAGTATACACTTTTCCTTAATCTTTCGCAATTAATTTCTCGATTATTATTATTACGAATATCACAAAAACGATTTAGGACTTTTATGTTCATCTCGATCTGCTCTATGTTTTCATGAGAGCTTCGTAGATTGTTCTGAGACACATTGTATATGTATCAAAATTATAGTAATTATTTTATACATTTTATAATCATTTTTATAGTATTTGCAGCAGTTTTACAAATACCAAACATGGTTTTCCTAATGTATGTCTACTGGCAGCTATACTTTTAAATATTCATATAACGAAAAATTACCACACTTTAGATTCTTACTGCAGTAGCTTTTTCCCGTGCTCTGAGAAAACGAAGAAATTGCGATAAAAAACGATAAAATCGTCATTTCGCGAGAAAAATCTCAATTTTTTATCACGCATGATATTCCGCAAATTGCAAAGTCAATTAGCTCTACAAAATGCTTAAATTACTTGCGAGAATCACTGCCCGCTATGTTCGCGAAGTGGAACTTGAAGTCCCATGAGACAAACTCTAATTCTATACAGAGAGGATATTATACATTTTTTTTCACCAACTGCCAAAGATTAGGTGCTAAATTTAACACCTTTCACGTGTTCCAATTTATACCTTTTTTTTGTATTAATTTAACACAAAAAATAGATATGTAAATAAGTAACACAACTTATATCTGCGCACTTTACATATGAAATACGTACTTACCAAGAATTCGTATACATTTATATATAAATTATGTTATTTCAACATTTCGAAATAGTGAATATGAACTCCATGCAGAATAGTCAAAAATAACGCAACAACGTGCTAAGTTAACGCACGGTGTGTGAAAAATTTAACACAAAAATCTCTGCACAGATTGCATTGACTTCAATACAAATACGAAATATTTTCTACCGTGTATGAAAAACGAAAAGATAATAATCTAATGCAGAATGTCGATTTATTCCTCGATTATTCCTCCAAAATTCCACAGCAATTTTTACTAGAGAATTCTCTCTGCATTGAGAGAAAAATGTTTGGTATGCGAAACTATAATCACATAGAGAAATAATTATTGTAAATCTATTTTTCAAAATTAAACTCTGCTATAATGTTAGTGGTAATAATTTTATATGCATGTTATCATTACCATTTTCGTTTCGGTAAAACCAGAAAATTCAATTGGGGCCAAGTAACTATAATTTCTATTGGATCAAGCATTTTTTCCTTTCATCACCTGTATATATTTGCAATAATTCCCATTGCATTATGCGTCAAACGCAAACAACGTATTATTAACGCGTGCGATTAATTCACACTCTGAGAATCCACCTTCGTCCGATCGAGATCGAGATCGATATCGAGATTGACACAAAGACGTCGGGGAAGAACTCCGTCGCGTGTTCGGCACGCTCTCCTCGCGGGGAAACACATGGAGCGGGCGTATGTTTCTCTCCCGACGCGTAGACGAGCGGGAACACCCCGCGAACGGGGCGAGAGTCTCGTGCTGGTCTTCGCGGGACCCGACTCAGGAGAGAGCACGTGGCGATCGGCTGCGGAGGCGGGAGGGGGGGGAGGGGGGTCGGCACCGAGCCGACGCCGGTGCATGACGCGCGCGTACAGGTGAGTCCGTGGCGCAGGCAGGTGAGCGAGAGCGAGCGTACGGACGCGCTTCCACCTGCGGAGAGTCGGTGACTCGCGCAAACGGACGCCCGCCCGCGCGACTCCGCCGCGAGCTGTTTTTTCGGCGCGCGAGCATAGCCGCGGCAGTCGCGCGCGAGAGAGCGTTTTGGCAGGTGAACCGCGACACGGTCTCGAGGCTCTCTCAGACAAAATCGCGCCTTCGCTTCGTCCTGCCGTCTGATCGCGCGCCGCGTATTTTCGCGACGTTCCGCGGCCGCGCCGCAACGCACCTGTTACATCCGCGTCTAGTCGGATCCCGTGGCCATCGCGCTCACGATCCGTTTCCCCGGCCCGCCGAGCTGCACACCGCCTGATCTGACCCCGACGACGACCACGATGTATGCGGGATGTAGAGGCGGGCGCAGTCGCGTGTGACATATCGCGGACGCCAGCAGGGTGAGTATCGACTCTGCGATCAACCGAAATTCGCGGGAACGGTTTCGGAGGAGGAACGCGGCGAGTGGTGATCTTTCGCGCTTTTGCGAATCAATTCTGTTTTCGCAGAAACCAGAATCGCGCAATCGTGAGCGCGAGTGAAGAACTTCGTCCTTTCGTCTTGAGGAATTTCACTCGAGAAGCGGTATGAGATTTGGCGATTTTTCTTCTTGTCTTTCTGTTTTTTTTTTTCCCTCTTGAGAGAGAGAGAGAGAGAGAGTGGATGCAGTCGAGAATATTTAAACGGTTCGTTTAACCGCTTTATGTGCACACATTAAACCGGGTACATACCGAGCGAACGAACAATGAACGAACAACGAATGCAAACTTTCGCTGTACGATTTAAAAAATGTATATGCCTCAACGAGTCCAAGCAGAACACGTCTTACTCACATTCGGGCCGACTGGCCCATGATGCGATCTATCAAGGAAAGTTTCCGCGCAAAGTGCACGCAAATGCATCGCACGTTCGCTGTTCGTTCGTCCAGTGTGTATAACCAGCTTTAGGCGCGCCCGTTCGATTCGTCAGCCATTACAGAGTCGCGCGAGTAGAGATGAGATCGTGTCGTGTAATGAAAACGGTGCTCGTCACTACAGGATCGGGCGGCACACTTCTCTTCCTCGCGGATGAAAGAAATCGCTCGCCTGCGCGCGTTTTGCGCGTCATTACGCGGTAACTCGTGGCAGAGCGCCGATCGGCCGCGACGCGACGCGATGCGACGCAACGCGCCGCGACGAGCAACGCTGAAATCGCGCCAGAGAAAGCATCATCCGCCTCTATGTAGGATTATAGGCCTTCTTCTAATAAACTTTCGCACATACATACACACTCCCATAGACATACACGAGACGCACGACGAATAAACGAACGAATGAACAAGCGAGCGAATTCATCGCGCGCATTTCACGCGCCAAGAGGGATCAGCAGGTTCCTGAGCGTGCATGAATAAAAGATGCGCGTCGGCATTCGTTAGATACGCTTGCGAATTTCAGCGAGGTGCGATCGCGATCCTCGCTTTTTGAATTCGGCGAAAGGCAGGTGGAGTGCGCCGCAAGGCGCCTGTCGATTGTTTTCGACGCGAACAGCCGTCAAAGAGAGCGCAGTTCTCGAATAAAGTGCCGAAGCGGACACAATAAGGTGTGACAGTCAGGTGAAAAGAGAAAGAAGGCTCGTCATGTTACATAAGTTTTGCCCACTTGTTCGGCTCATGAATTTTTCCGGAAAAAGGAACAAAAGCAACTGAAAATGTATGTTCTTATTCTTGACGGAGATCCTTTTATGTGGCTTTAAGAGGATTTTCCTAAAAGGAAAGAGAAAGGAGATAAATACTCCAACATCTGAAAATAGAATTTTAATTGCGAGATGTTATTTCCTGTAGTCACATATTCTAAGCGAAAACTCGTGCCGAGTGAAAGATATTCCTCTCCTAATGAGGTGAATTATTGATTGCAAATTTATTAAATATTGTCCCAACTTTTTTCTCCATGAATCAAATATGTTTGAGTCAAATATCCTTTTACTGGAAGAAATTTCTACTAAAAATAAAACTGAGAGAAAAAAAATATCTAAGAAATAGGAAATATTTATTTGGTGTACTGAAAAAATTATTTTTATATTTGGAACCAAAACATTTGGCACATTTGGTTGACGTTACCATATTTTTTACTTGTGTTAAGTGGGATGTTTTAATGAGAAAGCGGAACATACGTGTAGCAATTAAATTTTTCCTTGCAATTACTAAATATTTGGTTGATCCCATTTTAACCAAATTTCGAGTCGGCATATTAAATCTTTGTTTCAACAACAAAATCTTTTTTGCAGTGTAGGTATTAACAACGCGTTGTGTCCATTTGAAGTGAGTCCTCGAGTCGCGCGCAAACCGGACCTTTCTCTGCCGTTTAAGCATCACTGCCATGTTTGAGCTCTTCTGCAGTCCCGTTGGATCTTTTCCTCGTTGCTGCGGCAGAAAACAAAATTATAGAATTCCTCTGGAAGTTTCGCAAACGTTGTTGCACGTCGACGTCAATCGATCTGGACTCGAGCTGGCGTAAGAGCGCGGGGCCTTGACCAAAGCGATATTTTTTCAGTTACGGTGTCTGACGATATCAAAGGCAAAAAACCGCTGATAGACCTCCGATATACACTTCCTCGTGCTGCAATCGCGAAAATTGTACGCGATATTAACCTGTCACTGCCACACTCGCCCATAAATACATTGCTCTTTGGACGAAGATGTGCACTAAACGTCAAGAGAAAAAAAAAACGCGAAGAATATTGAAAAAAAGGAGAAGAAAAAGATACGGCGGAGACGTCTTAAAAGGTGTTCTGAATTTTTAACGTGTCATCGTCGTCTTGGGAAATTGTCCTTTGGAGGTCCTGCAGCTTGTCTCTTAGAGGTTTTTACGAGACTCTTTCAGATATTTACGTGCACCGAGAGAGAGAAAATATCTAAGAGATAGTAAACATTTATTTGGTGGGTACTAACGGCATATTTTCTTAAATTTAAAATCTCTTATTTAAATAGGACAAAGAATTGTTTTCGTGAAAAGCCAAGACTTTTTTAAGGTTTTAAAATAATGTACACTGAGAAAAAAATATTTAGTATTTGTAACTATAATTATATGGAGACGTAATTACTATAAATTATAATAAATAATAAAAAACTATTTTTACTAAAATCTACTATAATGTTAGCGATAACAACTTTAAATGCATGTTACTACTTTTATTATAAAAAAATATGGTTGTGGTAAAAAAAATAATTATAATTCTAATTAGATCGACCATCTTTTTCTTCTCAATGTATATTTTCTTATTTGAAAAGTATTTTATATTAATATAAGCGGATATATGCTATTAGTACTCATCAAATAAACATTTACAATTTCTAAGATATTTTTTCTCTCAGTGTGGCTGCGTCGCGTCACAACGACAGGGAAATAGGAAATTATTAGAGATTATTCTAATCGCGCGTGACATAATATACGATCGCTAACTGAGAGGACGATTGTCGCCTTCAGGAATCGATCGGGAATGTTAGGAGAACGAACGTAGATAAACGCTCCTCACATGGGAGAAGTTTCGAGTGTAACGATAGTAACTTAAAATTAGTTATCGGGTATCGCGCGTGGTGTTTGTATGCACACGCAGCTCGCCGGGAACACACACACCTCGGGAAACATCGCTGCTTATATTTTATGGACGTTAGTGGGAGTTTAACATTCGGCTAGTAGCGTCGGTAAACGGCATTCCGAGCGAAAACTCGAAATTACGCTGGTCTGCCTACCGCAAAAGCCCTCAAGGATTCTCGGGCAAACTATTCATTTCCTCGACTAACGTGAGGCAGTGATTCATTGACGAACCATTTAAACGTGGACAGCTGTTTGCCGCAACATCCTTTCATCGCGTGCGCTACGCTCTCGAACAGCGAATCGAAATTAATCGGTCGCGCGTCTCTCGCTCTTCCCGTGACGCGTCTATTTCCCTCGCGAAGAAATTCATCTAGAACGCGGTTACTTTACACACGCATACACACACACGCACGCACACATGCTGTTCTGAGAAGAGAGATTACATATGGGATTTCTCGCGCCTACTCGATTCACCTAAAAATTTGGCCGTTTACCTTTGACACTTCCAAAGAAGTGTCCAACGTCGCCCACGACTGTAACGTCTTTCATATTTTAAAGCTACAGATCCATCTCATCCACGAAATATCATTTGAAAAAAAGGAGAAATGTGCGAGTTGAACAAATTCAACAAGAGAAAGAATGATCTGCTTTATAATATTTATAACTACACTAAGAGAAAAATATCTGAAAAATGAGAAATATTTATTCGGTAGGTAATAACCTATTAATAACATGTTTACTTAGATCTAAATGCTTTTGTTTAACAATTTTTTTTGGAATTGGAATTGTTTTCATGGAAAGCCAAGAAAATATATACTTCCTTATTTTAAAAGATATATTTTATATTAGTATAAGTAGATATGTTACTATAGACGGTGAAAAATCTTTTGTGTTTGTGTTGAAATTAATCCGTGTATAATTTTTTACGTTAAACTTTCCGCATACTGTGTTAATTAACATATTACTGTGTTAATTAACATATTACTGTACTATTATTTTGACAATTCTACGTCGAGTTTATATTCACCGTCTCTAAATGTTAAAACATGACACAATGATGTCCAAGTGTTTTTATGTTAATTTTTATGTTAATTTCCAACATATTATATGTTTTCTTTTTCTTTTTCTATATTTGCCTTGTATGTTAAATTAACACAGAAATTAGAGTAGATGAATTAGTGTGGTCAGACGTGTTAAATTTAACACAAAATTCTCTTCGCGGTGTTAATATTCACTGAATAAATATTTCTTATTTCTTAAATATGTTTTCTTTTAACGTATTTATAATTTCAGGACTCTTCAACCAGCCAAGTTTTTTTCAAAATTTTCTGTGCAATTTTAGTCTGTTTTTATTCAGAGAAGTGGCGAAAAAGTTGTTGCATCTTATTGAACATTGGCATTGAAATTACGTCATTATCATTCGAAGTGTCAACAGGATGATGGGACGTTTATTTTGAATCCATAGTGCGCAGTAGATTTTGTTAACTATCGAGGGAATGATAATCCCGCTTATCAATGGTGACGATCGTTTGTTTGTGACCTCAGCGATCAGCAACCTATTTTCGCGTGACTTAGTTTAACGTAGCTTTCACGATATCAATAATAATCGTGACACATTGTCACATCGGTTATGACGAAATGTCGGGCTCGTAATCGGCTACAATGCTATTTTAAATTGGTAATCTGTGATCGATTCATCTCGGATGGGGCAGTAATAAAGCAGGAACGAGTCCATCGCGATAACAACGTTTTGAAATCACTTTGACACGGCGGACTGTCGATTGAAAGATGCATTGGAGCCAATTAAGAGCTCGATATTTCGCCATGGC